CGAAACTTCCTATGTTATGTCAGGTAGTAGTAAGTAGTGTTGGAATGACATTTTCACATTTGGTGGCTCTCAACTAGAATTGGTAGGATTTTATTGCGCTGAAGTAGAGTGAGTATTTCCAGGCCAAGGGTTGAGTGCAGGGTGTCTGAGGAATGGTGAGTAGGTCAGTCTAGGAAGAAAGAGAAAGTAGCAGGAAATGAAGTAGGAAGGGCCAGCCAAGGCCAGATCGTAGAGGATCTGTATCCGGTGGTCATGAGGACTTGCTGGCCATAGTTATGGTGGTGATGTGCATGAGGTGGGCTGCTTGGTAGAGCAGGAAGCTCTGTGATGTCAGAGCGTCTACTGGGGTTGGCAATGAGGATGCTGTGTCCATGGGCCCTAGAATCTAATGTGGATCCCCTCCTTCCTTCCAAGTTCTGAAATTCTTAAATGAGAGCTGGCTGTCTGTGGAGGTAAGATCTGGAATGGAGTCCAGTTGATATTTTCACTCCCTTTTAGAATCTCTTATGAAAAAATGGTCAGAGAGAAAAATGGGGTTTTGTTTTCTTACCTAATAATATATCCCACAACCAGCCAAATGCACTTGTGTGAAAATGGGGTGTGAGGAGTGGTTCTGAGTGCTTAAGTAGTTTGTTTCTTGTTTAAAGAATCTTCTGGTCTGACAACTTAAAGTGAAAATCAAATGATTTATTGTAGGGTGTTTCTGTTTAACTTTTATCATGATACCCCAACAGACCCCTGTCTGAGGGGTATTTTTTTTTAACAATACTGTTTGTAACATTTTGTTGTGTCAATTAGAGGGTCACTTGTTTGTATTGCAGTAAACACTGGGACCAGCTCCTGGGTTAATAATTTTTGTTTTTAATATTTCACATGAAAAGAAAGTAATTGTAATGGCTGGAATAGACTTGCCAGAAGATGAAAAAAAGAATGAGAAAAGCCCAGACAGTGGTGTGCAAACTTCGTTTCTTTAAATGTCCCATGGATGTAGGACAGTGCCATGTTTTAAGATGCCTGTGAACTAGGTCTTCAAGACGTATAGAATGTTACTTATGAACAAAATATAATTATGGTACAATTCTTGTACTTTAGCAAATCTGGAGTTAGTTCATAGTCAAAGTCAGTTAATATTTCTAACAGGAAAGGTTTGCTTTGTGACAACATTTTTATAGCTTGTGTGAGTTCTTTTATTTAATGATTTGAAAGCAGTATTTTTGCACAGTCATGACCATGTGTGGTGGCGTCACTGTAACCAAAGTATATGCACCAGCCCTTGTGCATTTGTTTCTCCTGATTTTGTGCATTTGAATGTCCAAATGCAAACCTTTGTGACTTCCTTTGGAGGATCTGGCAGCAAAGCATGCCCCCGTGACCTGCCTGCTGTGTTGTGAGCAATGACTAAGAGCAGGCTTCTGCCCCATGGAGCCCTGAGTTGCTCTGGGGTAGGGAATTACAAATGAAAACTAACCATGTGTAACAATAAATCTACCTTAGCAGAAAGAATATGTTTGTTTTATTTTAACCTGTACAGTAAAGTAGAAATTATCAGTAATACTTTGACAAGTCTTTTCTTGCTAAATTGGCATGGGTCAAAAGTAGCTTCCATTGCTTCAAGTTGTTCTCATTAAGATTAAGGCAACATTTGGGAGGCCGAGGCAGGCGGATCACCTGAGGTCAGGAGTTGAAGACCAGCCTGCCCAACATGGTGAAACCCCGTCTCTACTAAAAATACAAAAACAATTTAGCTGGGCGTGGTGGCGCGCACCTGTAATCGCAGCTACTCTGAAGGCTGAAGCAGGGGAATCACTTGAATCCAGGAGGCGGAGGTTGCAGTGAGCCGAGATTGTGCCATTGCACTCCAGTCTGGGCGACAGAGCACAAGACTGTATCTCAAAAAAAAAAAAAGAAAAAAGGATTAAGGCAACAGATGTTAATATTCTCTAGGCACTGGTCATTTGATGGGAATTCCAGGGCACTGTAGTGGTTTTGCAGACTGAGGGTTTAGAAGGAAACTCTGGTTACTTCTGTTGATGCAGTCCACTAAATTACATAACTCTGCAGACCCCACATTCTCATCCGTTCCTTGAATCCTTTAGGGTCTACAGTTACTTATAAAGCTGAGGAAAGCATGGTTGCTGGAAGACAGGTAGAGAGGTGAGGCAGCCCTAGGCCTGGCACTCTCCTATCCCAAGAAAGTACTACTCAGCTATCTGGTCAGTGTAGACATTTATCTTAATTTTGCAAGTATCTGTACAGGGAGAGGAGATGCCCCTGGAGAAGGGTCAGCCCCACTGACCACTGGGCCTGAAGTTCTGGTGAGGAAGAGGACCCATGTGGGGGTTGTGCAGGCTAGGTCATCCTATTATCCTATCATCGAGCCTTGATTGCATGTCCTAAAGTGTATTCCAACACTTCTGGCAAAATGTCTTAAATGGTAGAACAAGCTGACCCATCTAGGCATTCTGAGTTGTTGATCATTCACAGCATAAATCAAGTTGCTCTTCTCAGAATCATTTTCCTAATGAAGATACCGCCGTGCAGTTTAAAAGCCTAGTTTTGTCATCTTGAGTCCACACACAGATTGCCAAAGGTATGCAGATCATTTCCAAGTCTCATTTAGGGTGATGTGATAGATCACAGGTCCCCAACGCGTTAAGAAACTGGGCCTCTCAGCAGGTGAGCTGCGGCCAGTGAGTGAAGCTTCATCTGTATTTGCAGCGACTCCCATGTTTTGTGTTACTGCCTGAGCTTTGCGTCTTTCAGATAAGCAGCGACATTAGAGTCTCAGGAGTGCAAACCCTACTGAACTGCACACGCATGGGATCTAGGTTGTAATGATCTGTCACTGTCTCCCATCACCCACAGATGGGACTGTCAAGTTGCAGGAAAACACGCCCAGGGCTCCCACTGATTGTACATTATAGGATGTTCTATAATTATTTTATTGTATATTACAATGCAATAATAATAGAAATAAAGTGCACAATAAATGTAGTGCACTTGAATCATCCCAAAACCATTCTGTCCCCCCACCTGGGAAAAAAACTGTCTTCCATGAAACTGGTCCCTAGTGCCAAAAAGGTTGGGGACTGCTGTGCTAGATGACCCTCTGACTTGTGTGGCTTTCTCAGTTACATCTGCTCCTGTGCAGCTCCATGTGAACAAAGGCCCTTCGCAAAAGTGCCCTCCTCCCAAATGAAATATTGTTACTCCTGAGTACATGAATGTCATGATGTTTCGTTAAATACACAAGTATCCATCTTCTTTCCCATAAATGAACTCCTTGGAGTGAGTGACAAGGTTTAAGAGTTTAAAAATTAAATTATAATATAAACTCAAATTTACTTGTTTGGATAATCACCTACAGCAAAATCACATTTCTGTAAAAATCACCTTAAATAAAGGCCCATTTTTCCAAATGACAGTGAAGAATTTGGTAAAACCAATGTCTGTACATCCCTTTAGAGTGTGGGCTAACAGTATTTCACAGAAAATGGTTGAAGTAAGCTCCTAAGTGGCCTTTCTTGAGGCTCTGGGAGAGGCAGTGTACCCGTACCTGGGCACTTTCCTCAGTACACACTTGGGACCAACCAACCAGAGGGTGGCCTCACTTCCACTCAGCATGGCTGTGCTTGGATTTGGAGGAATGGGGCATCGCCCAGGAGGTCCTCTGTAACCAGTCTCCTACAGAGTTAGGTTTCTCTGTTCTTAGGGACAGAGAAATATTTATAGTAGAAGTCATATCTTTGATGCTTACTTTAACATTACATTGAAGAAAGTGGCAGAGAGCTCCACAGCACTTACTCACACCCTAGCCTGGTTGCGGCCTGTGCCTGAGCAGAGGTTAGGATTTCTCCTTTCCAGGATCCCACTGCCAGAGACCAACTGGGATCCGAGCAGTTAAACAGCTTCATCCTAGGACTGTATGAAATTAAACGCTTATGGACCCTGATTTTACATTTCATTATTCGTGTAATTAAGCAAATTATGTGTTTCAATTAAGAATCCTGTTTCTGCAGAGCCTAAATTATAACAGAAATTTTTTTTAATTGCAAAACTACTTTTACAAAGCAGACATTTATTAACACCATTTTTTTGGTAAAATTTCTAAAGAAACAAATTCAAGACAAAAATCCCTCCAGTAGGTAACAAAATACTGTTTCAATTCCTTCTGATCAAGTGACTTTATTTCATAAAAGAGTACATCAGCTGGGCAGGTTCAGTCTCCTCTGGATGTGTGACAGTCACTGTTTCTTCTGTAAACATAACTAGGATACAGTAACACTGTCATAACTAAATTTTAAGTAAATTAGTACTGTGACCTCCAAGGGCAGGTGTGAAACGTGATCAGAGCCTGAAACACCTTGTAGTGGTTTCACTAAAGTTAAAACAAGAGAAGCACTTAGGAAGAAAGTCTTCCTTCATTAATTTCTGGCATAGTGCAGCTACATCTTCATCCTGGAAATTATGGACAAAGTGTACCTTCCACTTAGAAAATCCAAGTGTTTTCACAGCAAGTTTAATAAATTAAAAATGTAGGGAAAAAGGAACTACTGAACAACAGAATTCTTCAAGGTCCTCTTTTTAAATTAATGTTTAAATGTTACATGTGAATCAGCATTTCACAAGCACATAGCACATACTCCAGGCCCTAGAACCAAATGTCAACATTTAGCAAATACAGCAGAATCTTTTCATTGTGACTTTTTTTTTTCCCCCTGAGATGGAGTCTTGCTCTTACCCAGGCTGGAGTGCAATGGTGCAATCTCGGCTCAGTGCAACATCCGCCTCCCAGGCTCAAGCGATTCTCCTGCCTCAGCCTCCCAAGTAGCTAGAATTACAGGCATGTGCCACCGCGCCCAGCTAATTTTTATATTTTTAGTAGAGATGGGATTTTGCCGTGTTGGCCAGGATGGTCTTGAACTCCCAACCTCAGTTGATCCGCCTGCCTCGGCCTCCCAAAGTGTTGGGATTAAAGGCATGAGTCACCATTCCCGGCCTCATTGTGAATTTTTTAAAGCGATAATTAAGTCCTGCATAAAACAGCCAAAGGAGTATTTGAGACAAAGTTACTGGTTCGTCACAATCAACTCTTTAAGGCATAATCGGAGGTAAGTGTGCTGAGACTTTTGGTCCCTTCTACGTTCTCACATGCTCCCAAGGAAACGGACGTGTCAGTTACTTGCCTGCTTCCACCTCTAGGTGTGGAAATGAGGAAGTCTGGAAATAACAGAAATCAAGTCATAAAAACCTGGCAAAAATATTGATACTCTGTTCTACAATTTGCCACAGTCACCTCATTTTTCAAATAAAATGACTACACAACTTTCAAGTGCTCTAAAACGTCTTAATTTTTCATGTCTCTACAGAAAAATACTATACTGTTTTGCTAGATTCTTTGGTAGGACAGCTTTTACCTAATCTTGATTTTTTTTTTTAAGACTGAAACTGAACGGTCTCATCTCATTTCTAAGTTGATTTTATGACAAACTCCCTAGCTGTGTATGTGCTGAGATTACACTAAGCAGTTGTGCAGGTGTTCAATCTGTCACACCTTCTTTTCTGCCTACAAATGGGGGGTGGGGAGGAATGAATGCAACAATCCATTTCTTCAGTTGTATCTAAGGGTCCCCACAGAAAATCCGATTTGCTTCCATTCAACAGGGAAAAATGGCTGAAAATATGTGGCCCCAGTTTTATTTCAGCTTGGAAGAAAAATACCTTAAAAGTAGTTAGGAGAGAAGTAAACCCACATGGAAATATAAGGCAGGGTGAGAAGCCAGGAAGACTTGTTAACGACAATATCAGGAGCTGGTTCAGTGCTCTGTACTCTGCAATTAAGACAAGCAGTTGTCTAAACAAGAGAAGCTTTAGAACGACTAACACACCCTACACCAGAATTAAGTGAGGTTATGTTCACTGCCTTGTTTGTAAAATGTAGCTGAGATCATGCAGATCAGGATTTTTGAGGGAAAGCTTTAAAAATGCTGTGATAAAGCCGTGCAAGTTAGCAGAAGTTCAGGAAAATCTGCAGAGGCCATTCTTCCCACATCCTTGCACACGGACAATTATTTTTCTTAGCCCCACATCATCTTGAGTTCAGCTACCACATGGGCAGACTAACAGGATGGGAACTGCTTGGCACTTAACTTGAAGCTCTTATTCCATGTTGCTCAAAGAGTGAAGCTGTGTGGGCACTGAGTCTGTCTGTGGGGTCAGCTCACTAAGCTCACTGATGGTGGCAGCCAGCAGGGCGTCCTGGGGCACCACGGTGGCATCTGACTTGCAGGCTGTGTCTGCAGAACTGTCCTGCATGGTAGGTACAGTCCCTTGGACTGTAGCCAGGTTGTGGAAATGGCCATTTTCTGCAAAAGACAGCAATTTATCTGAAAGTTTGGACGACACATACTCTTCGTCAGGCTGTTCAGTCTTGTGCCTGTCATCGTTCTTGGGCGAGCCATCTACAATGACAAGGAAAGACTTCCATGGAGTATTCTTATCGTGTATCTACAAGTCAAACACAAAACAAGAGTCACTGAATGTGTCTGAACAAGTGCATCTTTTAAAACAAGTCCCTCTACAACTTCAATTTTCGACTTTCACTGACAAGTACCCCCTGCCACCACCCTCACTGTTACAGAGTAGTCGTCGTGGACTGTGCTTTCCCTGGGCCTCGGGGCTTGGTGCTCCACTTCATTGACTCAGTGAATGTTCCACTGCAGAGACAACCCAAGGAGAAAGTACCTGTTGTCTCGACCCCTAAGCACCTTGGAGAATGGTGGTAGGTATTTCTCTTTAGGTTCCATGTATCTAAGGGCAGCAGCTTGCTTCTCAAACAAGCCATCCCACTGCTTACTGAGGTGTGCCGCCGAAGCGTGGACTTGTCGGTGAATGTTCGTCCACATGCGTTGCACATGAATGGCCTCTCCCCCGTGTGGATGCGACGGTGGCGCTGGAGGGCGTTGAGCTGGGTGAACTGCTTGCCGCACTGGTCACAGCAGTAGGGACGCTCCCCTGAGGCAGGGAGAGAGGAGACTGGTGGTGGGTCCTTTTGGCCTACTGTGCTTAATTCTGAATACACACTTGAATGAATTGTTGCAAACCACTGGGAAGCCTCAGCATCCAACATAAAGGTTATGTTGGGAACAACTTAAGGGCTACAAATCTACCATCTCTATAATACCAAGAGTTTATGTTACACCAAAAAGGGGCCACAGCCTCAGAAATGACACTTGTTTTCCACAGTAATGGAGTATAAAATTACAAGTCCCCTAACAACTAAATATGCATGTATGTGTGTGCATGTACTAACATGTAGAGATCATTATCCCTGTGTCTACACATCCACATCTGCTCCCAACATTCACACCATGACTAAGCTGTCTGTCCATTTCAGTAAAAGCTCCAGGTAGCAAAGGGACTTCGTCTTCTCATTTACACACATAAGTGCTCCCACTTTTCAGTTTCTCAGAGTTAGAAACAAGAATCTCTAAAAAAATGCTATTATGGGCCGGGCGCGGTGGCTCAAGCCTGTAATCCCAGCACTTTGGGAGGCCGAGGCGGGTGGATCACGAGGTCAAGAGATCGAGACCATCCTGGTCAACACGGTGAAACTCCGTCTCTACTAAAAATACAAAAAATTAGCTAGGCATGGTGGCGCGTGCCTGTAATCCCAGCTTCTCAGGAGGCTGAGGCAGGAGAATTGCCTGAACCCAGGAGGCGGAGGTTGCGGTGAGCCGAGATCGCGCCATTGCACTCCAGCCTGGGTAACATGAGTGAAACTCCGTCTCAAAAAAAAAAAAAAAAATGCTATTATGACGTATAAAGTTTGTCCAGTTTTCTTCAAAAACTTAATTACAAGTAATTTACTGGTGAATCTACAAGCTTTGGGATTTTTTTTTTTTTTTTTTGCCAAACTAAACTCCCTTCCCTGGGACATTCCAACCATACCTGTGTGGACTTTAATATGCTGGTAGAGTGAATTCCGCTGGGCAAAAGTCCTGAAACATACTTCACATTTAAAAGGTTTGGATCCAGTATGGATTCTGTTGTGGTGTTTTAAGTACTCCTTAGAAGCAAAACTCTTGCCACATGTTTCACACATAAAAGGCCTTTCACCTACATGAAAAAATGAAATAAAGTCATAAACAATACAGCATTAAAAACATATGGAAGAGTCGGTCTATACTCCGAAAACCCATGTGAACTCCTCAAAAGTGCCTTGGTAGGTAGGCAGCATGTTACATTTTATAGTAAAAACTATCGTAAAATATTTATTCATGCAAGATGCTTGCTACTTACTGAAAGTTGGTATAAAATATCCTTGAAAATCACAAGAAAAATTCCATTTGACTAGAATCAGAGGTATTGGTTTGTTCAGCTGGCTCACATTTTAGAAATGTAGTCACTCCAAACAAGAAAATAATTTCACAACTTCTGTATGGAGAAATTGCTGGATTATTTTCAAAGGAGCACTTCTATGAATCTTTATCAGAATAAAGGTCCCTCTTCAAAGGAGAGTTAAGTTTACAACAGATATATATCACTCTTCCATTGTAGGAACTCCAATCAACTTGACTGAATTGCAGGTCAAAAGTTATAAATACCTGCCCACTTACTTTTGTAGTTTAATACCACAAATCAAACTTATCAAATTATTAGGTGTGCCCCTGATTTCACAGACATCAAAATAAAAATATTGACTTTAATAATAAAATCTTACCATGTTCATATTCTTATCAAAGGACCAATTCTAACTTAATTCTTCACTATAACCTGACATTGTCCCCAATCCCAAGCTTTCTTTAGATACCAATTCTACTCATTCTGTAGTCATAACTCATGTCATTAAATGCTAATTTCATGACATTGAGATTTGCATTGAGTGACATGAATGATGACTACAGAGTGCGCAGAACTGGTGTCTAATCAAACAGACATGGTATCTCATGAGACAGACATGTCATCTGTCTCACCTGCATTTGAACTTGAGGCTTATAAGCCAGTGTTTACAAGTAAGAGTAAAAAATGCAAGCAAAGAAGGAGCTGGGTTAGAAGAATTAGAACACTTCAACGCTGTATGCTTCTGTATCTTACACAAGATTCTGAACCTCAGGGTTACTGTGCTGAAGCAGAATAAAGCCAACTTAAATTCTCACATAATTCATAAAGACTTTAGAAAACATAATGAGATAATCCTATTACCTTAATATATAACAACTTATTCTTGTCTTTTATGTGCAGGTTTTCAATACAGTTGAGGTTAACTGTATGCTTAACTGTGCATTTTAAAGTTGAACATCCAAGCACAGACCTTTTCATGTCATTCAGAGCCCTTACTCTGAATAGCCAGGGTGATAAGCCAGGGTATAGATTTACCAGAGTTTGCTGGAGCACTTCCCTGTGGTTGGACAATCAAGTTGTTTCCCATTCTTAGTTAATAAAAACAGCAAGAAGGGGGATAACAGCATATAACTCTTCCCACATGTTGGACAATTTCTTTAGGACAGAGTCTTAGAAAAGGAATTTTTCGTTATAACAGTAAGAACTATTTTATATCTCTTGATACTTAAGACCTGCATGCCAGATCCTATGGCCTGGTGGTATAAAAGCCATGGCCACGTGCACACGAGCAACGAAGGCAATGAGTGTATGTTTATTCATTTTGCTCACTTACTAGATGGAAAAGCTATATCATGGCTTTAACCTGCACCACCTTGGTAGATGCCAACTTCAAAATTAATCAATTGCATTTCCTTCTACAGCTAGGAAAGACATTCAATCACAACAGCATGGGTATTTACCTGTGTGACACCTTTTATGATAAATCAGCATGTGGTTCTGAGTGAATCTTGCACCACATTCATCACAGACAAAAGGTTTTTCCCCTGTATGAATTCTGAAAGTACAACATTCATATGATAACTTAGGATGTATTTCAAAGCTCACTTTGCAGTACAATTTCCACTCTATCCTGCAAAAATCATTTATTCCAAGAGACCTAATGAGAATGACTGCAGTGACAGGTCAACAGCCCATAATCTCCATCCCAAAATAAACTGAGTTTCTGCACAAGGTCAATGGATCCACACATTTTCCATAAATCACTGACTAGAATGTTCATCTACACCTGCTCACAAGCCCTACTGCTGATGCCATAAGGCATGTGCGGTTTTTGAAAACACTAAAGACCACCGTCTACTATTTGTAAAGCTGTCTCACACGGAATAATCAGCCGCAAACGCTTTAGGAACTACTGCTGACTAAGTGTCACATGATCAAAAATTTTACTCTAATTTCCTAATATGATGTAACCAGTTGAGAAAGGAGAACTGTTCTCAAAATGCTGAAGGTGGCATTTTTAAAATGCATAAGCATTTTAATGTCACAACTAGTATGAAGTAGCAATCAACCATAATTTACCGAGCACTTCCTAAACCAAGTATTTTTAACTGATTACACAGAGTAAAAGATGATGACCACTAAGTTACTAACCCAAGACTGATGTAGGCTTGAGGGCGGATCTAGAATAGAACAGAAAACAACTGCTTGTTGGGATTTCAAGAATAAATATACTAACAACCATAAGGAAACTTATTTAAAAACATCACCACACACCTACAGTTCAGAAACGTATTAAGAAACAGAAAGCATTCTCTGTCCTGATTCTGGAGTGTAGACTGCACAGAGGCACTCCTAAGCCTGAGAACCAAAGACAAGAGACAAGCTCTAAAGCCAGAAGCGGCATCTCACTGAGGTCTCTACTGAGACTGTGGGACCCAGGCAGGGAGTCACAGAACCCGAGATGTAAATGAAGAGTCAGGAAAGGAGAAACAAAGGTAACGAGGCCCAACTCTTCCTCCAGCACGGCAGGGCGAGCCTGCGGCCACTGTGGCAGGCCCCACCAGGGGGACATCCCAGCCCACAGGAGCACTCCGGGGTCTCAGAACAAGGGAGCGGAGCCATCGCTTGCAGCCCGTCTACCTTGACAGCGAACTCAGTGCTGTCTCGAAAGAGGCCCCCAGGTTTGGAGTGGGCAAATTAGGCAGTAAGACATCACCGGGTCCAAATCCCAGGACGATCTCAGTGCTTGACACGCCCCTCCAGTGCACAGAGACCCCTCTGGGCGGCTTCCCGCGTACCTCATGTGCGTCTTGAGTGCAGACGGCTGTGAGAACCTGGCGCCACACTCGGTGCAGCCGTAGGGCCGGTCGCCCGTGTGTGTGCGCTCGTGCAACCGCAGGGCTGTCTTGGAGCTCAGGCCCTTGCCGCACTGGCCGCAGCGGTGCCGCTCGCCCCCGCCCTCGTGCACCTGCAGCACGTGCCGCTTCACGTCCTTCTTGCGCTTGAACTTCTTCCCGCACAGCTCGCATGGGAAGTGGCGCTCGCTGCTGTGCACGTGGCGCTGGTGGCTCTTCAGGTTGCAGCGGTTGGCGAAGGTCTGGCTGCAGGTGTCGCAGCGGTACACCACCTCAGTGGCCACGCCGTGGCGGTGCTTGCTGTGCTTCAGGAAGCTCTTCTCGTATAGAAACGCCTTCTCGCAGATACTGCATTTAAAGTTGCTCTTTTTCTTCTCCCCCTCTTCCTCTTCCTCCTCCTCCTCTTCTTCCTCCTCTGCCCCTGCTTTCTTTGATACTTCCTCCAACTTAGCACCTCCCTGGCAACCCTCATTTTTGATAACCAGCTCCATCTCTGCACCCACCCTGTCTGGGCTTTGGTCCTGGGGATACCTGTAGTCCCCCACATCACTCTCAGCACTTTTCTGCTGCTCTCGGAGTCTTCTCGTGTATTTCTTTTTAGGGATCTCCACAAAGACCTTCCTTCCAGCCAGCCTTCCACTAGCTCTCCTGATTTTAGGGTAGGGAGGCTTAACTATCTCTTTCTTCTTGTCTACTTTGTCCTTGGACTTCCTCGGCAAATCTGGAGACATGCCATTGCTGGCTCTCTCTCCTGGGCCGCCCAAGGAATCAGTGAGGCCATTGGGGTGAGGGCCATCCGTGGCCACACTTGCCCTGGGGACAGGAGCAGCACTAATTTGGGAGCCACTGCTCGCCTCGACCTCCTGAGACTCTGAGAAATTTTGCAACTCCAAAAGTACTGACTCTAACATCTGTTTCTTTAACTGAAAACAAGTTTCTGATAGGTCCAAACATTTCAGCTTTTCAGCCGTTTCCAACATTCGCTGCACCCGATCTTCTTCCACCTGTACCTTTGCAGTGTAGACAAACTCAAGAAATGAAGCAAAGTCAGCAACCTGCACTTCATTTAAGTAGACATTAGTCCTAGTACCATCCACGCTCTTCTCATTAAGGAACACTTCCTTAAAAAACTTGCTGGTGGCAGCCAGCACTGCCTTGTGGGCCATGAAGTCTTTGCGGACGCCCTGATACTCCACGCTGACTGTCACGTCACACAGGTGGCCCAGGAGACGAAGCTCATGCATTTCATGCAGTAGGTTAAATGGTGAGGATTTGGATTCCAGCAGAACCGCACCGCTTTCCATCTTTCTTCCTTCCAAAAACAGCTTTGAAAAAGAAACAAGAATTATGCATGAGCAATCACTGAGGCAAAAGGACTAAAATTTATGAGGATTACTTCAGTTCTTGGGAGGATACTGACTCATTAACAACCTAGCTTTACTCAGGTAAAGATGTGAATGACACTTTACTTCTTAGCACAGTTTTCTAAAGTGAACTTCCTCATGCATTTTCCTGAGGTAATAAATCGGCATGAAAAAAAAAAAGTGTATTCTAAGATTTCTTCCTGTGATAAACAAATGATGGAAGTTGTGATTGTGAAAATACATTAATGCACTAATTTGCTCACCAAGGTCACTGCCTAATTTGCTTACAAACATAGACTGCAAACTGTAAAAGAATTCATGGCAGCAATAACGTCAAGTTCTTTGATCAGGAAACCAGATAATTAAGATAAAACATCTAGCCACCACCATCTGGGAGCAAATCGAAAACCTTAGGCAATCATTTCTGCCTTTGAAAAGAACCAAGTAAGTAACTACTTTCCACGAGGAAAACTTCCTGGAAAAGTAGTTCACAATTCATTGCCCATTCCCAACATGCTAAATACCTCATAACTTGAATTATTCTTACTCTACTGAAACAATGAAAGTTCCACAGCTTTTACAACCTGTGTTACTTTGAACAAGCAACTTCTCTGAACCCATTTCCTCCTCCGAAGAAGGCTGACCGGCTGTTCCATGAACCTGAAAGTTGCTGGCTAGTTGTTATTGGTTTCCCACACACAGGCCAAGGTGATATAGTGATCCCCATTTCATAGATGAGGACCTAACAAGGTATCAGTCAATGGCTGGTTGGGACCAGCTGAGTAGATGGGACTCAAACTACTCAACACACTATTCCCCTCAGCCTCGCCAAGGGCAAAGGGCTACCTTTAGCCCCGAAATCTTCCCACTGCAGTGAACATGCAAATTTCACCAAACCCACCTAAGGCCTCCAGATACCTTCACCCCATCATCATTCCTGCTGCTTTGCCGCAAACTCCCTGAACATGTGTTTTCTCCAGGAGGTTCGGCCCTGCCCTTCAGCTCTGGAATCTACCTTCCTCTTTGATTCCTGCCTCCACCCATCCAAAGCACGTACCTTCCTTCTAGCCTCCTTTCGCCAGAATACGGATGTCACCTCGGATTCAACATGTCTAGGAAAAAAGTTGTCATCATCTTTCCTGAAAAACCAGTCCCATCCCTCACCCCTTCTCCAGTCTCATCAATGATACTGCTCCCCAAAACCACCAGTCCCGGTACATGGAAAAGACTACCCTCTGGGAGTTCTGCTGTAAACAAGTACCTAGGAGGCTTGAGCAATGTCACCTGAAGGGGACTCCACAGTAAACTGTGAGAACACTGACAAAGCCTAAGCAAAGGATCTATAGAATTGGGGCGGGGTTTCAGCGGTCCCAGCCCCAGCCTGCGGAAACAAGGATGCCGAGGATTAGCCTGACATCCATACGCACGGCCAGCCCTGACTTCTCCAGACCTCTGCCAACAGGGCCCTCGAGGGGACCTGATTTCTCAATCAACAGAGTGGGTTCTAAGCACGATTTCCTATGTTGTGTGGCCACTGGAGTGCAGGCACTGGAGGTGGCGACAGGGCCTTCTGCGGCCGGTGACAGCTGCGTGTCCGCTGAAGCTCATTGGCATTCTGGCCGCCTCCCAGTGCGCCCGGCATCTGCACCCGCGTTGGCGGCCCCTGAGTCCCCGGGGTCCACAGGGCCAGAGCCCTTCCCAGGAGACGCTGCTCCCCGCAGCCGCGTCCAGGGCCACAGGGGCCGGAGTTTCCAAGGGGGCTTAAAGCCGCCGCCGTCCTCACGGCACCTCCCACCCAGCCGGCGCCACTTCGCCGCCACAGCGCCCGGACCTTCCGTGGCCCTCCAAAGACGACCCGGTGAACAAACTACTGCAGCCGCAGAGAAGCCCCTCCTCGGCCGGACGCGCCGCCTCTCGACGCCGGCCGCGTGGATCAGGCCCTCGGGCCGCCCCCTGTCCCCTGCTCCCGCATCCCCGAGGCCCGCCGCTCCTCAGAGCAGCCCCGGCGCCCGGACGACAGCGGGGAGGCGTCCAGAGGCGAGGAGCCGGGGCCGGGCCTGCGGGCCGCGTACTCACCTCCCAGCGGACGCCCCGCCACCGCGGTCCGCTGGCCGCTGGACCAGGCCGGTAGGAACTGCCGGCCCAGCTAGGCGGGGCGCTGTACCCGGCGCGGGCGCCTCCGATTGGTCGCTGCAGGTCCCTCCCCTCCCTCGGCTGGCCCCGCCCCTGGCGGGGCTGAGGAAGGAGCTGCGCGTACACGTCGGGCCGCGGAGCGGTTCGCGCAGTTACCTGATCTGACGTACGCCGGGGCCGCGCGACTGACTGGCGACGTCGGATTGCGTCATCCGCCGCGAGCCAAGGCCTACGCCTGCGCAGGCGACATGGACGCCTGCGCTGCGGCACGCCACAGCGGGGCGGAGCCGGTCGCGAAAGGTCACGTGAGCGTCCGAGCCGCGTGGTCACTTTTGGGTCCATTCCGGGCATCTGGCCTCGAGACCTGGGCACTACCGGGCTCCAGGCAGGGCGTGGCCTGTGGTTGGTTTCCTACTAAGAGCTGCTGAGGTCCGCGAGGCCGAGCGCACCCGTGGGGCACAGTGGCCGCGCGAGGAACCTCGCCGAAGGGCAGGCTCGAAGCAGGCACGCACCGCGGGGACGCTTCTTCCGCGGTGCCCCGCCCCTGCCGGGAGACCCGGCGCGCCAGGAACCGGCACTGCACGCTGCAGCTGCAGTCATTATCGCAGGGCTTTATTTTTCCAGGAGTTCCCATCCCGGCGAAGACTTTGTTCACTACGGAACTTCCCAGAGATCTATCTACTCTTCTGAGGAAAGCACAATTGGTACCTTCAGATTCTCTGACTCCTCGAAATCTTGCTGTTTCCCCCAGTCCTTGCTCAGTACTAAAGCCCGCTTAGAAACACCTGCCTTAAGTCAGACTTCCAGCTCGCCATAAATTGACCTTGCTCTTCGCTCCCAGCCATTGCTAAAGCTTTGCCAGGTTGATGCTGTTCCTTACTGAGGCCAGCAGTTAACTCAGCCTTGTCTTATCAATAGGTTGAGTTTGTACTGTTTGGGAAATGTGAGGACAAATACAAACTTAATATAAGAGGTTTACTACTTTCTGTTGAAAATAAGAGGTTGCCCTCCCTTTTTCTTTGAACAATTACTTTTTTTTTTTTTTTTGAGACGGAGTTTCACTCTTGTTACCCAGGCTGGAGTGCAATGGCGCGATCTCGGCTCACCGCAACCTCCGCCTCCTGGGTTCAGGCAATTCTCCTGCCTCAGCCTCCTGAGTAGCTGGGATTACAGGCACGTGCCACCATGCCCAGCTAATGTTTTTTTTTTTTTTTTGTATTTTTAGTAGAGACGGGGTTTCACCATGTTGACCAGGATGGTCTCGATCTCTTGACCTCGTGATCCACCCGCCTCGGCCTCCCAAAGTGCTGGGATTACAGGCGTGAGCCACCGCGCCCGGCCACAATTACTTTTAAAAATTGGTAATTAGTGTAATTACTTTTTCCACTCTTGAAATCTATAAATCCTTTTGAAGACTAGTTAGGCCTTTTTGTCTGCTTTATAATCTAGAAATATCTTTCTCTAGGACCTAGGAGCCATCTCTTTAAATATCAAGGGAGATACTGCCTGTATCTTCCAGCTTTAATGGGAGAGTAGGAGCCTATAAATCAGTGGGCCCTTTGCCCCAACTTACAAAATTATCTCCTATCATAAAGATACAAGTTTCTTTTTCCTCTAGATAAAGCCAATTGGCTAACACAGAGAATCACGCCAAATATCAGATTAAATAAACTGTGTGATGAAAAGTGCCAGGTTCCCTTGAGAACTAGTTATTATCTTGAAAACATGTATGTAATAAGATTGCTTGGCGGCACATAAGAGTGAGATTTCTGTCGTTGCAGTCTCTTAGTGGATTGCCTGTGTTGGGTATCACCTTCTAGTTTAATGCTCATTCATTTAAAAAGTGTTTTCTTTCTCCACAACCTTTCTGAAGAGGGTTGGGAGATTGTACTTTTAATTATATTTCCTGAACAGGAGCCAGCTTCCCCCACATAGTAGGTGCTCAATAAATATTTGAAGAATGAATAACAGAATTCTTTATATTTGCATTCCATGATTTGAGGAAAGGAATGCAGTTTTCACCCGTGGCTCCAGCAGGCCCAGAATAGTGTTTTATGATTTTGTTTTGCGTAGAAAAAGGTGGCTGGGCACGGTGGCTCATGTAATCCCAGCACTTTGGGAGGCCAAGGTGTGCACATCACTTAAGGTCAGGAGTTCGAGACCAGCCCGGCCAACATGGTGGTATCCCTTCTCTACTAAAAATACAAAAATTAGCCAGGCATAGTGGCACATGCCAGTAATCCCAGCTATTCAGGAGGCTGAGGCAGGAAAATCACTTGAACCCAGGAAGCAGAGGTTGCAGTGAGTGGATATCATGCCACTGCACTCTAGCCTGGGCAACAGAGTGACATTCTGTCTCAAAAACAAAACAAAACAAAACAAAACAAAATTAGCTGGGCACTTATAATCCCAGAGGCTCAGGTTGAGGCAGGAGAATCACTGGAACCCAGAAGATGGAGGTTGCAGTGACCCTAGATCACATCACTGCACTCCAGCCTGGGCAACAGAACAAGACGCCATCTCTGATTATGTTAGCTAGCATTCAGTGCTGAAAGGATTGCTTTAGTTGGGTGTCTTAATAGCTTTCATGCCTAACCAAAGAAAGAAACAGCATATGATAGTCATATTTTATATTAAATTACTTTTAGAAATGCTACAGGAATTTATAAACTAGATCAAGTTCCAAGGTAGAAATTACAACAAGCTTATTTAAAGAACTCCTGGAAATCAGTAAGGTAAAAAAACACCAGCCAATACAAAAGTAGCAAAGTATATTGCACATTAAAATAGAATTCTAAGTTTCCCAACTGACTGAACAGACTCCGTCTTGGCTGAGAGAGAGAAAATACACATTAAAAACAGTTTTTTACCCCAGAGAAACCTTAAAAACAGTTCCCTTGGAACAAGAGGTTGGATTGGCCTCATTTCCACGCACCACCCATCCTAGCATTAAGGTTAAAATAGAGGTGATAAGACTCACAGACTCTTTGTGGCAATAAGATATTAAATTATAAACAGAATCAGGGGCCATGCCCAGCAAGGGTTAAGTCATGCACTTGTACTCTTAAAGAACAAACTATGCCCTAACTGCCACAAGGTTTTAATTTTTCTCTAGCAGCCAAACAAACACTGGCTTCTAGATAAGCAATGTTAAAACAACGTGCATCGCATCCACCTCCACATGCTGACTAACTGACCCCCGGTCCACAAATAACTACTGCTTTGAATGGACCAGAGGCTGAATACAGTAACTTTCCCTTGATGGGAAACAACTGAACAGGGGCTGCACAGGAGTGCATTAGTGTCTTGAAAAGACCTATCCACATATAGAGTCTAAGTGTAATAGATGCAAATGCTAAGAGTCCACCCCAAAATGAACATGAGTCACCTGTAACATGCATGTTTGTCCAGTAAGCATAGGTCAGGACCCCTTTCATGAATATTCATAGCTCTTCCTATGGCCTATTGCATATGTATACTTGGCCAAGCCTTTCAGCTTAAATTCCTGTTTTGGGCCTCCTTCCTTCCAGGTGTCTGCGGAGCTTCTGAAAGAGGCTATGCTTCCCAGCATGTCAGAAGGGCCACCTTGCAGATTATCACCCTTTAAAGAAATAAGGCTCGCCTTTCTAAGTTTATAAGTTTGTGATTTTTTTTTTTTAGTCAATAATACCAATAGACAATTCACATGAGAGTGTGAATGGCATACTTCACTGACAATGGAATACTATAAAAACAACGGTAAACCACTGATAAACGTCAAACTGACAAAGTTAAATATAGTGTTTCATGCTGCAGAACTCTGCATGAGAAAAGTACACGGAAGTGAACAATTTTTATGGAAGGGCATTCACTGCAGTGCACTTAGTGAAACTTTGGAAACAATCTATTCACCTATAAGGAGATGGCTGAATAATTGATGATATATGCAAGCACTACATTATTATGAGGTCATTAAAACAACGTTAAAAAATATGTGTAACAGCCTGGGGAAATGCTCACCATGTTATAATGAGTAAAGACGGCTACACTATTTTACACAGGGTCGGATCTGATTTGAAAAAAAATCTTTAGAAATAGACTGGAAAGAAATGATCAAATTCTAAACTCCACTAAGAACGCAGAAGCAGGCACCACTCCAGCGCCCCGCCCACTGTGCGCCCGCCCACAGGCTCGTGAGGGCGCGGCCTTGGCGCAGGCTGGGCGGCACTCCCCGCCCATTGGCTATCTCAGAGTCCGGCCCCGCCTCCCCCCGCCCTCTGCAGCCGCTGGGATCGCTCGTTCCCGGGCTCTTTGGTGACGGACGGCGGTGCTGGGGCGCGGAGTCACGTGGAGCGCGCTGCGGCGATTTCCAGCTGACAAAGGGTCTTCCGCAGGGTCCTCCGCAGGGTCCTGAGCGGTCGCAGGGTGGTGGTGCCGGTCGTGTCCGCGACGCTGGAACCTGCGGTTGAGGGCGAAACTGGCGCGACCCCTGCGTCTGGGTCTCCAGCCGGCGGCCAGCGGGATCTGAGCTGTGGTTTCCCCAGCTCCTTTGCGGCGCTGCTGTCCATTCCCCAGCAGCCGCCCTCGGCTGGGCGGCCCGCCCTCGGTCAGTCGGTCCTGGCGAGAACTGCCCACGGGCGCTCCGGGGTCCGAGAACTGCTCTGGGCTTGGCGTTCGTATCGCGGGGCCTCGGCTCCCAAGCGAGGGAAGAGCAGCCCGCAGAGGGCGGCGGCCGCGCCAACGGTATCCCAGGTTAGGAGCGGGCGCCCCAGGAGGGATGTGGGCTCCGATTCAGAAAGAACGCCACTGCCTCGTGGGGGCTCTACAATGCTGCAAAATAGGTTACAAT